GGGGTAGGGGGAGGGGGACGGAGTGTGTGTATCTGTATATGAACACAAACAATATAATGTGTACACAAAAATGAAAATGAAACTAGCCACAATGAAAATTGAAAATAAGCGTGACGTTTCGAACTCTTCACGTTCCTTTTCAGACAAAAATCGAAATGGATCGAATTTCGTGCGTGTGAAGGAAGGTGTGTGTGTGTGTGTGTTTATGTATGTGTGTGTGTGAGAGAGAGTATGTGTGTGTGTGTGTGCGCATTTAGTCTGTGTATGTATGTGTGAGTGTGGGTGTACAATAGCACCCTTGTGTGTGTGAGTGTGTGTATGTATGTGTGTATGTGCGTGTGTGTGTGTGTGTGTGTGTGTGTGTGTGTGTGTGTGTGTGTGTGTGTGTGTGTGTGTGGCATTCAGTCTGTGTATGTATGTGTGAGTGTGGGTGTACGATAGCACCCTTGTGTGTGTGAGTGTGTGTATGTATGTGTGTATGTGCGTGTGTGTGTGTGTGTGTGTTCGCGTATTTATTATGTGTGAGTGTGAGTGTACGTTAGCACCTATGTGTGCGTATGTGTGTATTCATTTGATGTGAGTGCATATATGTGTGCTCTGCAGTGTTGAGCTCTGCAGGTGCATATTTAATTGCCAATGTGCATATCTATATAAGTGTATGCATCTGAAAATAAAACATAGTCAAATGACTGCGCATTTCGGCCATAAAGTGATATAATCCGTCGAATCATTTTATGCCTATCAGCCTCGCCCAAATCGACGCCAAAAACTCTACGGGATAATACCCACATTTCACATCACTGCCGACAGACAAGCCCCTCTAACCGGGTGTAAATGATGGGATCCAGGGGGCTGCCAACCCACGCCCGCATGTGCCCGGGCGGTCCTTGCCTACCTGGGGACTTGTGAGGGGGGGGGGGGGAGGGGGGGGGGAGGGGAGAATCCTTCTATGGGGTTGGGGAGGGGAGGAAAAAAGGGGGAAGGGAGGAAGGAGTGGGTGGGGAGAGGGGGAGGGAGAATCCTTCTATGGGGTTGGGGAGGGGAGGAAAAAAAGGGGGAAGGGGAGGAAGGAGTGGGTGGGGAGGGGGAGGGAGAATCCTTCTATGGGGTTGGGGAGGGGAGGAAAAAAGGGGGAAGGGGAGGAAGGTGTGGGTGGGGAGAGGGGAGCGCTCAACCGTGAAAAGGGCGGTGGGTCCGTGTGTGTAGAGCGAGAGCTGAACAGACATATGGGCGGGGCTGGGGAGGAAAGGCGGGAAGATGAAAGTGGTGGTTATTAAGGGCGTGAAATGAGAACAGGTCTTTGTTGGACAGTGGGTGTGAGGGGGGGTGGGGTGGAACGC